ATTATATGGGCATAGCTCGAAACTATAACACAGAGATTATCGGCAACAAGTTCACCAAGGCAGTTTTAGGGGATTCTCTTCTTTCAATGGAAAAAAAGACCAATTAACGATCTCCACTATTACATGTAAAAGCTCGGATAACTCTTGTTACTTAACGCACGTTCAGATCGGCGCAGCTACGCTGATTTTAAAGATATAGTGCTAAGCATCTTGTCTTAGCAGCGAAAAGCGGGAGAAACCTTCCAAAATGAAGCAGTAACCACTTTCAAACATGTAACAGCTGCAATGTTGACTGAAAATAAATAAAAGAAAATAAGGTTGTTGCCGATTTCAATAACACTTCCATAGGGTACTGACGCATAAGTCAGGAGATACTGAGAAACGAACAATATGCTATAATAAACGGTGTACACCTGATCTGGGATTCTGTCTAAATCCACTGGCCTCGACACAGGAGCTCAACCTGATTGCAATATAATACTACTACATAATTAAATAAAGCATTGTATAGTTTCATTTCGATTGGTTTTATGGAACTTCAATTCGTTGCTACCTAAATTGAGGGGAGGGAGCATCCTCAATGTATCTTAGCAATATAAGATTGCTAGTGCAAGATCTATTGGTCTTTTACGGTTAGTATCGAGAAATTTCGAGTGAAACAAAAGTGATGAATTTTATTGGCAAAACTTTTGACCATAAATTACTAATTATTTAAAGAAAATTACATATCTACTGCACCACTTAGGCAATTGAAACACAACCACCGCGAATCTCCCCAAGCCTTCAGGCAATCAAACGTTGACTTCTGTCCTTTTTGGCTTATCGGACAAAGCAGTGTACGACAGCGCAACAAATGGGTGAAGACGAAATAAGGGGGATAAGCGGAACATGGGGTAAGAATTATGCATGTTAAGTGTTTAGAGTATAAAGCTGTTGATTGGTATGGTGTATGAATCAGAACGAAAACATTCTTTTTATCAGATGCAGTTGTGTCTCACCTGATACTGTTGCGAAATCAGATCTTTTCGAAATGTTAATCCTAACACGTCCAGATCTTCTCGACCATATCGAAAAGCTGCCAACAACGTCGCCGTAACTCGCCTGCCTTCTCGGACTGTTTCTTCATCTACTAATACCATGCCATCTAAAAACTAGCCGTACCTATAACGTGAAAAGAAC